CCACAGCACCCTTCTCTCTTACTCCACAGCACCCTTCTCTCTTACTCCCCAAGGTCCTGTACCACACCCCCTCAGGGAGGAGAAACAAATGCAGGCTTCTTACACAAGCGTCAGCTGTCGGAGCGAGGACAACTCTTTGGGCACCGCCGTCAAATGGTTTCCTTCCAGGTATCTGAAAGAGAGGTGCAGCGTGGTAGCCCCGGGAAGGGTACTGCACGCTAGGCACACCCCAAGAAGCCTCCCTGAGTCACCCCCCCCCGACATCTGTCATCATTGTGTAATCCTGAGATCACTCAGCCAGTGATATTTTTTCTCCACTAGACTAAGTTTCACGGTGGCAGCAGAGTTCTTGCTAAAACTGCCCTCCACTGTATTCTAGCAGGGCTCTTTACACTGCTGATACACACTCGGCGCAGATCTATTTAATATTAATAAGTGAAGCACTCACTTAATGCTGACCTATCACAATATTTGAGCAGCAGCAGCACACAGCTGAGGAGCCACTTACTCCAGGCTACACAGAAACCATTAGTTGATCTAGAGGCTAAGCCGTGGGTTAGTGGTTCTCAACCTGTGGGTCACGACTCCTCTGGGGGTTGCGTATCAGACTTCCTGCAAATCAGATAATTCACATTACGATTCATAACAGTAGCAAATTTACAGTTATGAAGTAACAAATAATATTATGGTTGGGGGTCACCACAACCTGAGGAAATGTACTGAAGGGTTGAAGCGTTAGGAAGGTTGACAATTCCACACAGCTTTTACTTAGCTCCTGGGAGGGTGGTTGGGGGAACTTAGCCATCATTTGTCTTAAGGACTCAAATGTAAACTGAGGGAGATGCTAAGTGGCAGATGATACTCAGGGAGAGTCTTCTAGAAACTGAAGGGAATTAATTGGGGGAAGTTGAAAAGTAGCAATCACAAAAGAAACACTGAACAGCTGGGGTGGGGGTGGGGGAGAGCCACACCCAGGGCAGAAGCATCAGCAGGGGGCGCTGTGGGAAGCCTTCCTCCCTTGGTGTTTGGTGCTCAGTACTGGCAGCCCAAGACCCTCCTGAACCACACTTGAGAAATACCCACCAAGTACTATTATTTTCTGACAAACCTGACCAAGTACTTACTATAAGACTATCTTCTGACAAACCTGACAAAGAGGACATTGTGACATTGGAAAAGAAACCCCGAGTCAGGGGGTAGAGCACTCAGGCAACAGAAAGCCTAGAGGGAACCAAAGTGTCCCCAAGAACTTTCATGCTGACTCCAAGCAGCACACAGGACACCAAGAGCTGCACAGGGCCTGCAGGAAATGACAGAGTAGGACCAGTTCCTGAGACTGCATCTGAGAAGCGCTGTCCAGGACAGCATTTGTCATCTGATCAGACACAGGAGGGCTTAGAAGGAAGAACGGGAGCGTCCACAGCAGAGGAAGCCCAGGAGCTAAGCAGAGCTCTAAGAGCTGGGAAGGTACACAAGAGTCTAGATGGAACGGAGCAATCGGCTCACCAGGTTTTCATATTCTCTATTTTCACGCAGATTTCTATCCTTCAGCATCTAACCTATCTTTATTTAATACCCAATGCCATTTTAGTAGGCCAGTGGCTTCATTCTGTTCTTGACCCACTCCTAGCCTTTTTCCTTTTCCTTCTTCCTCTCCCAAACAATGTAATCTGGTCTGATTTGCAGGGCCTCTGTGCTCAGCTCCCCAAGAGATGGGACTGTTCTACAATATCAGATAGAACATCTTCAATTTTCTCTTTTAGCAGACCTTTATCCTGAAACCCACTTCCCTCCTCCTTTTTTGTACCTTCAGGTCTCTCCTCTACCTTTTCTTTATCATCTCAATATTAATCACTGGTACTGCAGTGCATGTTCTCTGGATCCACACAGGAGTGTGTTCATGTCCTCTTTCATTTCTTTGGATGTAATGATAATCATGCTCTTGAATTGTGTGGTGTTTTGTTCAAGTCACTTGCCCTGGGGGCCACTTCTCTGGGACTGGTAGTTTTTGAAAGAGGCAGGTTGTTTTATTTATTTATTTATTTATTTATTTATTTATCTATCTATCTATCTATTTATTTATTTGTGTGTGTGTGTGTGTGTGTGTGTGTGTGTGTTGGGATTTGTACATCAAGAGTTAGATCATTGGTCAATTTTTTTTAAAATGTAGGTAATCTTTCTGCTGGATATAAAGTCATAGAGTAATCCCGACACAGTAACATGCCCCATTCCTACCAATAGATAGTTTATCCAGACCAGAAAGAAAGGGAAAAAAAGAAAGAAAGTAGAATTAAGTGGCAACACAGATCAAAAGTACTTAACAGACATTTACAAAATGTTTCACCCAAACACTGCATATTTTTTCAGTAGTCCAAGGAATTTTCTCTAAGACTGATCATATACTGGGACATAAAACAAGTCTAAGCAAATACAGGACAACTGAAATAACATCTTGTATTCTGTCTGATCACAGTGGAATACAGTTAGACATCAAGAGAAACAGAAACTATAGAAAATTTGCCTACTCATGGATATTAAACAACACACTATAAAATGATGAATGGATGAATGGTCATTGAAGAAACCAAGAAGGAAAAAAGTCTAACAATTGAATAAACACAGATTGATCATACATTAACCTATATGATATAATGGAAGCAGTCCTAAGGAGGGAGACCCACAGTTGTAAGCACCTACATTAAAAATCAGAATGACAACAAATAAACAATTAATTGATGTTCCTCTGGGCCTAACAAAACAAGAATAAACCTAACCTGGGCTGGCGAGATGGCTCAGGGGGCAAAAGTATTTTCTTTCAAGCCCGGTAACCTGAGTTGGTTGGCAGACATATGATGTGGGAGGTGAGGTATACTGTGAATATGTTTTATTGCCACTGGTTAATAGCGAAGCTGCTTTCAGCCAATGTCTTAACAGAGTAAAGCCAGGCTGAAAGATATATATATATATATATATATATATATATATATATATAGAGAGAGAGAGAGAGAGAGAGAGAGAGAGAGAGTAGGCAGAATCAGAGAGAAGTCATGTAGCCACCCACAGGAGACAGATGCACCAGAACCTTGCTGGTAAGTCATTGCCACTTGGTGATACACAGATTAATAGGAATGGGTTAATTTAAGATATGAGTTAGCCAGGAATATGCTTAAGCTATTGGCTAAGCAGTTTAATCAATATAGTTTCTATGTGGTTATTTCCAGTCTGAGTGGCCAGAAACAAACAAGCAGCCTCCCCCAACAGACAGACACTAGGTTGAAGGAAAGAACCAACATCTAAAGTCATCCTCTGAACTCCACATTCACACATGAAACCACCATTATCCTGGTACCCAAGTCAAACAAAAACACAACAAAATAGAAAACTGTAGACCAATCTCCCTGATGAACTTAGATGCCAAATAAATAAAAATCTCAACAAAATATTTGCTACCTGACTTCAAAGACAAACCAAGATGATCACTCACCATAAGCAAGTTGGCTTCATTACAGAGAAACAGGGATTATTTAAGCAAATCAATAAATGTAATACATCACCCAATGGACTCAAGGACAGAAATCATGGAATCAACTCAATACATACAGATAAAGGCCTTTGTCAAAACCCAATACCCTTTCATGATAAAACCCCCAAGAGGCTAGGAAAGGAGGAAACATAACAAAGGTATCTACCATGAAGTAAAGCCAACATCATGCTAAATGGAGAGAAAGTAGTTCCATTAAAATCAGGAACAATATAAAGGTGTTCATTGCCATCTATTTGATATGGTGATTGAAATCCTACCCAGAGCAGCAAGAGAAGGAAATAAAAAAAAAAACAAAGAGAAAAGGAGGGAGTTAAATTTCCATGTGTATATTCTATGATTTAATATGTGAGAAACCCTAAAGACTCCACCAGGAAGGCTGGAGAGATAGCTCAGTGGTTAAGAGCATTGTCTACTCTTTCAGAAGTCCTGAGTTCAAATCTCAGCAACCACATGGTGGCTCACAACCATTGGTAATGGGTTCTGATGCCCTCTCTGTCATGCAAAGCACTTATACACATAAAGTATATATACATATAAAAGACCTCACCACAAAATTCTGAGAGTCAATAAACACTAAGGTCCCAGTAAGGTGGTACAAAATTAAACACACAAAAATCAGCACCCTTCCTATATACTAACAATGTAAATAAATAATTAAGATCTGAAAGAAGTGAGGGAAATTATCTTATTCACAACACATTCAAAAATACAGAAAAACATTTAACAAGTGAAGCAAAAAGACATATACAAAGAAAACGTTCAAACAAGGAAGAAGGAAGCTGAGGGAGACCCTAGATGATAGAAGCACTTTTTCACGCTCATGGATCGGAAGACGTAACCCTGTTAAAATGGCTGGCCTACCAAAAGTAATCTATAGATTCAATGCAATGTCCATTAAAATACCAGCATCATTCTTTAGAGAAACAGAAAACAACAACAACAACATTAAAACTCATACGGAAACACAAAGGACCCCAGATAGCCATAGCAACCCTGAAGAAAAAGAACAGTGTGGTAGTTACCAGTGCATGTGATTTCAAGTTATGGTACAGAACAGCAGTGACTGAAACAGCAAGGGATGGGCACAAAACCAGACTCGAGTCAACGACGGAGAAGTGAGAGCTAAGAAACAAGCCAGGCAGCTGCAGTTGATTTCCATTCCAAGTGGCAAAGACCAAACCAAACCACCAACAATAGCCACACCAAAACCCACACCCATGCGCACTGGAGAAAAGACAGCCTCCTTACCAGGTGGCGCTAGGGAAACTGGGTACCTCTAGCAGAGGGACACAGCTGGCTCCTTTCTCTAACCATGCACAGAAGCCAACTCTGAGGCTGAAGACCTGAATGTAAGATCTGAGACTCCGAAGTTGCTAGAGGATCGAGGCCCAGGCACAGCTAAGGATTTTCTTCCCCTGACTCCAGTAACTCGGGAAGTAAGGTTAGCTATGGACAAAGGCAACCTCATGCAATTAAAAAGATTCTGCATGCCACAAACAAACAAACAAACCCCCAAACCTCCCCACAACAACCCAGTTATTAGAGGAGACAGTCTACAGAAGGGGAGAAAAATGTTTGCCATGGATATATCTCACAGCTGATTAATATCTGAAATATACCAACAACTA